TGTGTGTGTGTGTGTGTGTGTGTGTGTGTATGTATGTGTCTGTGTGTATATATATATATATGTATCCATAATTGGGTGATAACTCTGTTAAAGGGTTATGCATATCTGTTTGCTAGAACCAAATGAAACACCTAATTATCTTCTATTCTAGGAGCTGGGAAAATATGGTCTGCTTTATTACAATGCACTGTTCATGATTCTGCCTACCCTAGCCATTGCATATTTCACAGGAGATGCACAAAAGGTAGGACTTTCTAATTATGGTTTAATGGCTTATGTTGGTGAATTGCATTATTTTTTTTATAACCAAAAGATAGACTTTTGGGTTGTTAAAAAGAAATGTGCTTATTAAGTGACCAGAAACTGAGAACTTATTCTCTAGTTTGCTAATGTCATACTAACCTTTTTTATTGGCAAAAGCATTGGATAGTACTAAAATGGCTCAAAATAGCTCTGGCTGTCAGCATAAAAATAGTGTATGTCAACCAGTGTCCTTTTCTTATGTGTCAGAAGGATAGAAGGGAATTTTAACATTTCTGTTATACTGTAAAATATAAATAGTAGCAACCTATCCTTAAGAAACAAAAAACCTTGAAATAGTAAAAATTCTTCAGACCCTTAATAGAATGCTAGGCATTACTAAAAGTTCTCTGTTTCAGTTTACAGTTGTCATCCTGGTTAAATCCCAATCTGTTTCTTTTTTTTCCTCAGGAGATATTTAGCACTGTGTGGTGACTTAACTATATAAATAGCAACTAATATAGTAGTTTACCAATTTTCTGCAAATATTTAGCTAAATAAAACCAGAATAGAGTAGCAAAATAAATTCAGAGGAGAATTTTTCTCTAAAGCAAGTCCATATTCATAGGAGAAAAATTGATACCATATTGTTAGAATTCCCCAAATTTTGCAAACTAAATGGAAATTCACAATTTTGCCAAGAAGTCTGTACCAAGATTCCTTCTAATGATTCTCCTGGCTAGTAGCTTCTTCAGAATGAATGTGTTGGTTGTCCACTCTAATGATACTGATGATTTCCACAGATCAGTGGGAGCTGAAATAAATAAAAGGTTTTTGAAAGTAGTTAGTTATTAAAAAATTGTTCTTGAACCAAAGGCAGGAGACTGACAGCTTATGAAACCACCCCCCTCCTTTTTTGTTTTTTTAATCAAGACCTCTTTCTTTTAAAGAACTGTCACAGATCATCTTGAATACATGTGTAAATGTTTTAATGAACTGTGACCTGGCTGCCAGTAGGCTTAAAAGTGGCCTCAAAGTAAGAAACAGAGCTATTCAAAGAGTGTTGAGTATTTTTTGGCTGTGAAAAAGTGTGATGAGACACTAACATTTATTGAGTCCTATTATGTGTTAGTCACTTGTATACGTAATATAATGTAGTGTTCATAACAGTTCTAGAAAGTTTGAATTATCCTTATTTTACTAATGTGGATGTAGAGGTTCAGAGAGACTAAGTAACTTGCCTGAAGTCATACTGTTAGTGGGCAGTAGCGTCAGGATTTAAACCCAAGTCTGACTCGAAGGGCTATGGTCTTTACACAGTGTTCTGCCTCCTTCTAGCAGAGGCAGCTCTCACTCTTCAGCTTTGGGGCAAGAATGT